ATGATGATATCTGATTACTTTAAAATAAAATATTTGACTTCTGGTCTTTAATATGATAGATTACTTTCAGCCTCTTTCATTCTTTTTTTGGGTGGCGGTGGGGGGTGGGTGGGTGTGGGATACCATAAAGGTGAACAGCCAGAAGTCAGGTTGAGGCCAAATGATGCAGGGACTGACATGCCAGTGTTTGCAATTTGATACTTAAAACAACTACTGCATACTAAGAGAATGTTGAGTAAATATAAAAGTAAAATTTATGTGTATCTGTGTTTGTTTGTTTTGTATATGGTGTAGCTAATGACTTGTTATAGTTTCCTATATTATCATGTGAAATATTAATATATTTTTTTGCAGGCTGAAGCTGACAGCGTTGCGGCTTTGCAGCCATTTAGAGATAACTGTGAACCTATTTTTCTTTTTAGTGTTGTAAGTATTTATTTTCTCGAATGTATTATCAGATTCCAATTTATAGTTAAAGAGCAAGTAGCATTATAAAATTACCACAGAACTCTTTTCTGATGAAAGTCATTATAGATTTTTTTACTTCATCTTTGCTTATCTATTAATATATTTTCTATAACCTGACTTCTAGGAGCTAAAAATGGATTGAGAGATTAGACTACCACACACTGAGCTGGTCAGGGCAAAGAAACACAAGATGTATTTACTTTTCTTAAAGAAATAATCAGACAGCCCAGCCAGCGTGGCCCAGTGGTTGAGTGTTGACCTATGAACCAGGAGGTCACGGTTCAATTAGGATGAGGGCACATGCCCGGGTTGTGATTCCCAATGGGAAGCGTGCAGGAGGCAGCCAATCAATGATTCTCTCTCATCATTGATGTTTTATCTCTCCCTCTTCCTTCCTCTCTGAAATCAATAAAAAAAATATTTTTAAAAAAGAAATAATCAGACATTTGTATGATGAATTATTATTTACAGGAGTGAAAAATTGGAAATTTCTTAGATACCTAGTAGGAGAGATTTGGTTATAAATATTCATATATACCAATCCAAGGAAATAGCTGTGTGATCACTATTTTGTAATATATATTACTTCTATCTCTGTATTTACCAATGAAGACAGCAAGTGCATTCATCAGACTGTCTATGTATGGGGAAAGGATGTATAATTTTATTTTTCTTCTTTATACTTTTGTATATTTTCCAAATATTCTGTGATGAACACACAACTTGAATAATCAGAAGACCGTAGTACGTGCTATTTTCTTAGAGGAGGGTACCCAGTTAAGTGCTAACTCGTGTGACAAGAGTGTGGCTGCTACGGAGCTAGAGAACCGGGGTGATAAGGAAAGGCCTTGCACAGAGGGCAAGGACCTCCTCTGCTGCTGGGTACTTCAATTCTCACCTTTTACATTAAAAATAATGACCTGAAAACACTTCTTGGATATAACATTTCCCTTCTGTCAAATAATACTCTTGCAATGACTTCAAGGAACTGAATTACTGGACTCAATGAGTTGCATTGCAGATCTGGATATGGAGGATTTGATGAGTGAGATCAGGGGTCAGCCAGCTTCTTCTGGGAAGGGCTGGATAGGAAGTATTTTCAGCTTTGCCAAAATACTGGCTCTGCGTTGGGTCATAGTTTGCTGACCCCTGGCCCGGAAGCTGTTTGGGGAATCAGAATGAGTAACTGCTTGAAGCAGGAAGGGGCTTAAGCAAATGGGACCGTGAGGAGACTCTAGCAGCAGCAGCCGCAGCAGCAGTTAGGAGCATGGGACTGAGGAAGAAAGACTGGAGCTCTGGGCTGACCAACCCCCTGCCAAGTTAGCCAGGCCTGGTCAGTAGACCTTAAATGGACCATCCGGTCAAGGTTCTTCGACCTGCAACCACATCCTTCTAATGCTCAGAATTTTTTTTCTGACCCATTTCTCGAGTCCTCCCCCATCTTTCAAACCCTTCTCCCATGTGGCATCTGGAATTGATGTAAGCAGTCGTCTGGCTTCTAAGAACTTCACCCTGGGCTCTGAGCTTTTGTTCCACTTCCTTGACTTTCCTTCAGTCAGGTTCCTTACTTAGGGCACTTTCTCTGCTGCCCAGAACTGTTTTCTCAGATTGTTCTTGAGGCCAGGAGTAGAATTGAAGTTTCTTTATTTTTCACTACAATAAACGTCTTTTCCTTATTTGTTGGAGGCCCACTCAATTTGGTTCATCCTCCCCACCTTATTCCTGTCATTTACTGGTCTTCGGATCAGTTGTGTGGATGACTAATGACTTGAGCTTGTGGCTTAAAGTCTTCATTTCACACCCATGTCCTGCCATCATGCTGGGACTTCAGCATCTACACCGACAATCTACCCAATATCCTGGACTCTCAATTTGGTGTTTTTAATCTTCACCC